TGGGGGGTTGTGGATTGTTTGGTGTTGTGTGGTTGCATCCCGTTGTTCTATTGTGGGTCTTGCTTTGGAGCAAACTATTATGGGATGTATGTGTGTTGTATGTGTATTGGCTTGGTGGGGGTTGTCTCCAGCAGCCCTTCTGGTGGGGCAGTCTGCTGGTGTATGTCTTGTTACTAACTGTAGATCGCCCCGCCCTGTGTCATTATGCAGGGGGGGGGGATTGCCCCCTGAGTGTATATATCTTGTATCTGTGTTCAAATAAACTAGTCTACCTCCTGGTTTACTTCAAGATTGGTGTCATCTAGTCTTGTATGGTCTGCTGTGGTGTCTGTTGTCGGTGTTCGGACGGGGAAGCGCAGTCTGGGGTCGGTTCCGTTAGTCCTGTCTTTTTCCTTTTGTACTCCTTCCTTTTCTGTTTGTTTTTGGAGTGGCGGTGGATAGCTGCCTTTTTGGTTTGCGGTGATGTTTACCAATGTTTTTGTCATTTATGTGCCATTGCTAGCCCCTGCATGGGCGCACCTTTTGCTCTGTTGGTGTTAGAGCGCTGTTATCTTTATTATTTGCAAATGATGGCCTCTGTGTGGGTGTGTCTTGTTCCTGTTTTTTTTTTTTTTTTTATTTAAATGTTTATAAACTAATAAAATAATCATTGAAATACAAACGCCAAATGCTTGTAAACAGTTTATGCACATTTGCGTTTTAGACATGTTTTTTGGCTGGTCTTTATCCAGATGCTGTCCGGAGCCTTTTTTTCTTCATCAAAAAAAATGCATGCACAGCGTTTTCCATGTATTCAAATGGACCCGGTACACCAGCGCAGTCAGTTCCAGGTTTCTCGGGAAGGAAAAAAATGGTAGAATGTGCCGCATTATGCTCATGATGGGATCCATAGTGAACACTTAGATTGTAAGTTCCCAGGATCAGGGCCCTCCTAACCCTCTTGTATTGAACTGTATTGTCTCCCGTTATATTGTAAAGCGCTGAGCAAACTGCTGGCGCGATATAAATCCTGTATAATAATAATACCAGAAAAGACAGGTAATCTCAACACATACTGCTCTCTCTGCTTCTACTCTCTATTTCTCACAAAATGTCTGAAATGGTTAATTTACTATTTTTCAGTGCATTCTGGGCATCTGGGAAGGTCTCCTGAGGTTATCTTTTAAAAACACTTCTAAATGCAAACGCACATAAACACGGCTAAACTGACTTTTTTTCACCTACGTTTTCTAGCAGTCAATTTCCAGCAGTTGTGTACTTGAGCCCTAAGAATGGAGAGAGAGAAACACTGGCTACAGCTGCTCTCTGTAGCTGCTGCCCTGTGGTGCTAAAGTGGTTAACAGAGGGAGCTGCTGAGCAGGAAGCGTTCAATAGATGGAATCAGACAGCACTGTGCACTGTGGGAACTGTAGTTCAGAAGATACTCTACCAGGGGCGGACTGACAACTCATGGGGTCCCTGTGTCCTTGCCCAAACTCAAAAAAGCCTATGAAAAAGGTACCAGGGGCATCTCATGGGGGCCCCCTACTAACCCCAGGCCCTCGGGCAATGCCCGAGTTTCCAAATGGTCAGTCCGCCCCTGTCTCTACTGTAATAAAGAGTTTTTGAAGTGCAATTCCCAGAGGTATATAGCCAGGACGGGGGTAAAGAGCTGCATTTTCTCACCCTGTACAGGACATGATGTCCTCTTGCCACGAGGGAGCCTGGAGAGTGCTCATTTCTGTCCAGTATGCACCAGTGCTGCATAATGGCAGCCTAAGCAGGATTTGGAGTGCTGAGTCCAGGTGTGCCAACAGCCAGTCATCAGTGGCTAAATCACGGTGTGTGACACCGGATGATGATCTCTAGGACTGGTGAGCTGTGGGGATTAACTGTCTGCTGCTAGACAGCCTGAGCCCTTTAGAAACTGATCATACAGTGGCCACCTAGTAGTCATATTGCTGCCTTCAGGCTCAACTGGGACTGTTCTGATGCTCACCAACAGTACAATCAGGTCCCTGATGCTAGCTGGCTGAATTTAGGACTAAAGACTGTCCCTTACAGCTGCTACACAAGAGACCTTCACTTATTGCTTGTGCTATGATGTACCTTTCAGGGGACATTGCACCATATCCTAGCCATTTTCCTAGAAGTGCACTCTAGACTGGGTATTGGATTATTCACATTGCAGTTAATGATGATATGCACTGTTCATTGCTGGCATCATGTGCTAATCTCAATCTAGTGGTATGGAACTCTATTCTAACTTCCTTTAGCAAAGGGATTATACTGTCTAGTGGAGTGTGTCTGAACCTACCTTCTGTGTTCATTTATGTTCAAACCGCCATTTATTCTAACCCTTACAAACGTAGTCAGGGGCAGATTGACCATTTGGGAACTCGGGCACTGCCCGAGGGCTCGGGGTCAGTACTGGGCCCCATGAGATGCCCCTGGTACCTTTCATAGGCTTTTTTGAGAGTGGTTTGAGTGTGGGCGAGGACATAGGGTCCCCATGATCCCCTATTGCCCGGGGGCCCCATGAGCTGTAAGTCCACCCCTGATTGTAGTTCATTTACCACTAAGCGGTCTTGTCTATTTCCCAGTACAACGTCGCAGCCAGGTTCAAGGTATCTACACTTGTACTCCAATGAGTGTTTGCAGTAACTTTCACTCCACCAGGTGTCAAGGGGGCTGAGGTTGTTCTTGGAGTCGAGGCAAAGAACCGAGAACCCAAATTACCAAGCGGCTCCTTCGGCGGTAGCGCTACAATTCTCACTGAAGATACAAACTTTTGTTATATAGTGCAGGGAAGGGAGGAGGGGTTAAGTATATCCCATTATTAATTATTTAAAACTCTTCTACAGCCTACTTGGATGTACTGTGCTCTGTAGATATTTTTTACTTGGAGACCTGAACTGTTTTCAAAAGGTCCCTCCACGGTAAAAAGTTCAAGAGGCTTATCTAGAAAAGGAAAACCATGCCTTAAACTTTATAGCTGCGGTAAATAGAGCCCAATGGCTACAGCCGAATGGTTTCTGCATGCTTGAGTTGTGTGCAACTATTACATTTTTTTTTTTTTTGTCTTCTGTATATCGTGACTTTTTCCTGTTTGGTCGTTGACCAATTTTGTTGAATGGGAATCTCATGGACCTTTTTTTTTGATTAAAGATCTTCCCGGCTATAACCCGTCTTAGACTTGTGCTGTAAGATCGCATAATGGTTTTTCAGTCTCCCAGAGAAGTATCTGTGTATCCACGCTGACCTGTGACCCCGGAAAATGAGGCCCTGTGATCTTGTTCCACTTCAGTGACGGAGATCACAATTTTAGTTAACTTTTCCCTTTGGTGAACTTGTTTCCTATCCCCGGCCGCCCCTCACCATTGTGCGGAGCTACAGAAGGGAGCTGAGTAATAATAAAGCGTTGTTTCTGGACACAAAAAAGGTTAATTAAAAGGGAATTCAGCAAATATTACCTTTTTTTTTTATTAGGTTATGTGGTTATCCAGATCCAGAGGCCTCGTTCCCTGGGTTTCATGCTCAGACCAAAAAAATCATAGTGACCCTTTAGCTTCATACCAGGCTTCCTATGGTACCATTAGTTTGTTGGCCAATGCAACCTCAAAGACGCTACACAAATAGACTCTTCTTGACGTCTGAGATTGGATATGACAGTGTTTTGGCCAAGGGTCTGAGATTGGTTGGGCCAGGGTTTTGGCCCGGGGGTCTGAGATTGGATAGGCCAGGGTTTCGGCCCAGGGTCTGAGATTGGATAGGCCAGGGTTTCGGCCCAGGGTCTGAGATTGGATAGGCCAGGGTTTCGGCCCAGGGTCTGAGTTTGGATAGGCCAGGGTTTCGGCCCAGGGTCTGAGATTGGATAGGCCAGGGTTTCGGCCCAGGGTCTGAGATTGGATAGGCCAGGGTTTCGGCCCAGGGTCTGAGATTGGATAGGCCAGGGTTTCGGCCCAGGGTCTGAGATTTGGATAGGCCAGGGTTTCGGCCCAGGGGTCTGAGATTGGATAGGCCAGGGTTTCGGCCCGGGGGTCTGAGATTGGATAGGCCAGGGTTTCGGCCCAGGGTCTGAGATTGGATAGGCCAGGGTTTTGGCCCGGGGGTGTGAGATTGGATAGGCCAGGGTTTTGGCCGGGGGTCTGAGATTGGATAGGCGAGGGTTTTGGCCCGGGGGTCTGAGATTTGATAGGCCAGGGTTTCGGCCCAGGGGTCTGAGATTGGATAGGCCAGGGTTTCGGCCTGGGGGTCTGAGATTGGATAGGCCAGGGTTTCGGCCCGGGGGTCTGAGATTGGATAGGCCATGGTTTCGGCCCAGGGGTTTCATCATTTGGGGGGAATTGCTAAAGGCAAATAGTGTATTTTGCAAGTGCAGTTGCACTCCTTTTTCATAGTAAATGTGGTAAAGCTTCACTTTTGTAAAGAATATCCAATCGGGTGCAAGGAAAATAGAAAAAGTAGCATTTTGCTTGCCCATCATTGGATGATGGAAATCGGCAAAGCTTTGGCACATTTGCTTTGAGGGAAAATGAGTGCAACTGCACTTGCAAAGTGCACAGTCTATTTGTTTTTAGGAAATCCACCCCTGTGGCCTAGTGGAGGCCAGTTCTTCATCTGTGTGGTCTTCTGGAGGCCAGTTTTTTTTTTTTTTTTCATCAAACACATAGCCGTACTGTATAAAACACCTGAAAAGTATATAAAGAGTACTAGAAAGCACAGAATGTATAAAGGGTACTAAATGTTTATTAAATATATACATTTTACAATGTACTGTAAGTTATTGCAGCGCTTGAAATATTTGTCTGGAATTCAGCATTAAGCTGTCTGGGCAAATAACAGTGAAACTACTAGACCAGTCTACAACCAATCACAGCTCTACATTCAATTGTAGCAAACATGCATTTTTAAGTTTATGAACACACTTACCCTAATCTATCTATTTCCTTCCTTCCTTTCTAGGGTTTAAGGAAACCGCCTTCCTTTATGCCATCTCCTCAGCGGGGCTGACGCACGCCATGGCGAAGGCGTGCAGCGCAGGCAGGATGGAGCGCTGTACGTGTGACGAGGCTCCAGACCTAGAGAACAGGGAGGCCTGGCAATGGGGAGGCTGCGGGGACAACCTGAAATACAGCAACAAGTTTGTAAAGGAGTTTCTGGGGAAAAAGTCTGACCGGGACCTCCGAGCCCGTGTAGATTTACATAATACGAACGTAGGAATTAAGGTAGGTACATCACTGTATGGAACTTGTATCTCTTTCCAGGACAGTAAGACCTTTTCGTGTTCATCTGAGGCCTATGCGATGAGTGCAGTTTGAGACTCTTCTGACAAAGGTCCATTGATGGTTGCATTGGACCTGCTCCCAAGTTTGGTTTTATTCCTGTAGGCTTTTTTTTTTTAATATATGGAGTGGTGATGGGTGAAAACCCTCTCCAATGGTTTTTCTTGATTCCCCAAGATAGAAATTGAAGAGGCCTTTACATTTGTACAGTGGTCATGAACAGGAGGTGAGGGTAAGTCTTACAATGGGATTCCTTTTTAGGCGGAAATCTCTCCTGGTTGTCCCCGACCTCTGGTCTCTGGAACAGGAAATGAAGGGTAATCTCACCCTAATATGTATAGACCTTGTAACAGTGCACTTTTTTTCTCCCTTTTGCTCTAATCAATATACTATTGAAAGTGTACTTTGGGTTGTTTTTTTTTGTTTTGTTTTTTTTTTAAGTTCAAGTTCAAAAAAGTACCTCTTGATTCTGTCAGATATCTAGTGAGCTCCCACTTTAGTAGTAGGCCAACAACACTGCACCAAAATCTCAATGTTTCCCAACCCTACCCAGTGCCAATCGAGAATTCTGAAGCCAGAAAAGAGCTCATCTCCGTGCTGCTGCTTTTTTCCCTTTCCAGTCACAGACTGAGGCTGGCTCTGGGATGACGTGCTGCTTCTCTTTTCACTGTCCATTCACAACTGAAAAGACAGGAAAAAACATCACCTGCACTCGAGTGGTAAGATGATAAAGGAACTTTAGGTCCTTGTGCGTCCAATGCCAGCACAGACCTTGCTGTCCTCCTGAGGGTTGGGGAAATCCCACATTTTTTTTTGCATTTCCTGAGAGTAACTTTTTATTAAATCCAAAAGAAATATGTACTCACAAGCAACTGTAGTATCAAAGGCATATCAATATCCAGAGCAACCAGGTTAGCTCCCAAACACGAGAAGACCCTCAAATGGATGACACGTTTTGAGGGGCGTTCACCACTTCCTCAGAGCCAAATGCCTCCCTCGAAATGCATCAGATATTTGAGGGTCGTCTTGTGTTTAGGAGCTGACCTGGTGACTTGGTCTGGTGTTCTGTACAGAAAGACGTGAGAACAATGTAACTGCCAAGTGTAGCACAGGCAGAGAGCATAGGAAATTGTCAGCTCAGGATTTTTAGGCAGGTTCAACAGACATAATTTTTGCACTAATCGAACGGAAATGGTAAACTGTTTTTAATGGTATCTTTAACAGACCTCACTGAAGACCGCACTTACAAAACGTTGTTGAGAAGATAGAATGAGGCCAGAGACGGGGGAACAAAAATGGTGAAAGTTCTGAGGGATAAAACCTACCAGGAGAGGTTTCACAAACTTAATATTTTACAGTGAGGAGGTTCAGGGGGGCAGAATTTTCAGTATGAAGCCAAAATCAAGAACACGAGGACATGACTTCAATCTATTAGGCAGAAAATTCAAATGATAGAAAGTATTTTTACTCAAAGGGTAGTTGATGCTTGGAATAGATTTCCAGCAGAAGTAGTGAGTCTATCACGCCTAAATGTGCTTGGGACAAACCTAGATCTATACTCTGACAAACTTCATGGACCACTTGGTCTTTTTACCACCATCTCTTTTCTAGGCTTCTACCTATAAGGAGCAAATAGATTATGGTTGGCGACTTGGTGGGTAATGTGTTGACACAATGGAACCAATAGTTTGTTCCTTGGCAGGACCGTATTTCTGGGGTGTAGGTGAATTGGTGAGCAGACAGATGTTTCTGAAACCTTCCAAACCAAAGCAACCACTTCCAAAATGGAACCCTAAGGCCAGGAGCCCCGTCAGAAGGGAAGAGGTGTCAGACGTTCCTTCCTGTCACTGTGTCGGTAAACAGTGCAGTGTAATGTGATTCTGTCGGGAAGTCTGGCCCTTCTAACCTCTCATCTCGCTGTTTGGGAAAGCATGACACAGATTATGAAATCATCAAGTGCTGCCTTCGGACCTATTGTGTCTCCGAAGGGGCTTTCTAGGTGACCTCAGCCTCTAATGAAAAGGACAGCCTGTCTGGCATTAGCCAGAGTGATTAAACCAAGAGCTTCTTCTTTGAGATGTCTGGGATGTGAATGGAGCTCTTATTAAAAACACAATTTCCTCTCTATTGGCAAATAAAACCCCTAGTTATTCAGCTGTTTATTCTCAGAAAGCAAAGTCCCTTTTCTGGCAGAGACAAAGCAGCCCCCTCCTCGCACGCCTCCTCTTCATTTATGACAAGGGCTCAGCTCCTCTTCAACCTTTTTCCTGTGTTAAGAAATCAAATTATTATAGCAAAGGCCTCAATCTCTATAGAGATTACTGTATATTCCTGTTTGTGACAACTCAAATTTTTTGGAATATTTCCTTTCTTTCAAATATGGATTATGTTTGGATACACTTTGAGATGGGTAGATGAGTTGGAGGACTAGGTATACAATAGTGATGGGTGATATGAGCTGTGGCAGAGTGATGGGTGGGATTTAAAAGGTTTAAGAAAATTAAAATATTCTGCGTGGTGGGAGGCACTAGACCGGATTTAAGGTGTGTGGGAAGTGAAGTTTTTAGGGGTTGCTGCCGAGGATGGTGGATGGATGGAGGGATGGAAGTTTGGGGTGCTGGAGCAGATGGGAAACGGTCGTGGGGGCACTGAGGAGGATGGAAAGTGTGGTGGCGGGATATTTAAAGAGATGGAAGATGTGGAGGCGATGGAAGTTTGGGCCTCTGGAGGGGATGGAAGGTGTGGTGTAGGAGATGGAAGTTTTAGCTGCTGGAAGCGATAGGTGTGGATGAGGGGATGGAAGTTTGGGGCACTGGAGGAGATGAAAACTGTGGTGGGGGCACTGAAGAACATGGAAAGTGTGGTGGTGGGACATTTAAAGGGATGGAAGATATGGTTGAGGTGATGGAAGTTTGGGCCTCAGGAGGGAATGGAAGGTGTGGATGGAGGGGATGGAAGTTTTGGCTGCTGAGGAGATGAAAGGCGTGGTGGAAGTTTGGGGCGCTGGAGGAGATGGAAACTGTGGTGGGGGCACTGAAGAACATGGAAAGTGTGGTGGGAGGACATTTAAAGAGATGGAAGATGTGGTTGAGGCGATGGAAGTTTGGGCCTCTGGAGGGGATGGAAGATGTGGTGGGAGGGGGTGGAAGTTTTGGCTGCTAGAGGGGTTGGAACGTTTTGGCTGCTGGAGAAGATGAAAGGTGGGGGGATGACATTGTAGTTAGGGGAAGAAAGGTATGATGGGAGAAATGGAAGGCTTGTTGAAAATGCTGGAGGAGAAAGGTATGTAGGGGTTGGCGATGAAGGGAACTCAGAAAAATATTCTGCACTAGGAGTAGAAGATGACACCAGTGATTTAAAATGAGGGAGGAATTAATAGTTTTAATAACAAGTTGCTTACTGAGACTGATGAATGCCAGTTGGTATGTTAAAGCCACCTTTTGACTTTGAACACAACTTTTCCCTTTTTTCACATTATCCATCCTGGAAATACATAAAAACGTAAATGTTTAAGTTGCTCTCTAATACCTTTCAAAGGGTTATCTTGCATTCAGAATTTGTAGCAGATCCTAATCTCAGACGTGGATAGATTGTAGGTTGTCCTCAGAGCTGCTTTTAAGGTTCCCCTCCAGTAATGATGCAGTTAAGTGCGCTCACACAGGTTGCGCTCAGCTCAAGTACGGGATGTTTTAATTAAATGTGTCCATGTTTCTCAGCAAAGTATCATTAGGCAGGACTTTCCAAGTAGAATGCACTATGGTTGCTAAGTTTCTTAATCCCCCAAGGGCTGACCTTCGCTGAGGTGTGTTTGGTCAAGCATGTCCCACCGATGTGAGGGGCACCTTACAGGGAGATGCAGTTACCAGGCAGATCATGGCATTCTACCGTGCCTGGCCTGTATTGTCTCTCCACTTATTGAACTGTATGGGCAGGCCCAGTGTTCCCAGGGATGGCCGTTCATGTTTCTGCTCATGGAGTGCAGGGAGGAGGGAGGGTGAGAGAGGGGCCTCTGAAAATCATTTGTGTTTCGAATTTCTCTGCAGAAATATAATGAGCAGAGCTAGAACAAGGAAAATGACAGTTAACTCATGACGTGCCCATTGAATATGGTCAAACACTAATGCCCTGCACATGTTAACCCTTGGTGTTAACATGACATTGACAAAATGGTTCAGGATTTTTTTTTTTTTTTTTTACTTGTACATATTTTTCTTGATGAATAAAAACAAACAAGGGCGCACTCTCATCGTGCATTACCGTGGTATAACACGTAATTTATTAAATAAAAAGGATGTATACTCCCAAACCAACGTGATAATGGGCAGTAAAGGTGAAAGCCCTTAGCTCTGAGGAAGGGGGTTCAGCTCCCGAAACGCGTCAGCTTATCCACATCATTAGACACAGTTGTATTGTGACTGTTTTTGTGGATCACCTTTACTGCCCATTATTACGTTGGTTTGTGAGTATATATCCTTTTTATTTAATAAATTACGTGTTATACCACGGTAATGCACGATGAGAGTGCGCCCTTGTTTCTTTTTATTCACCAGTGGTCAGATTTCCCGATCTCAGAAGGACAGCACCTCTTCGGTTGGCATTTGACAAATCCCTTGGTTTGCATGAAGATTGGAGTGCTGGTTTCGTTTATATTTTTCTTGATAATTGGGGGCTATTCATTGCTTTAGTGGCAAACATGTATGTGTGTTTATTTATCAAAGTGTTCCATATACTGTTGGCTTGTCATATTGACCTTCTTTTTTCAGACCACTGCAGTGTTCTACTGGAATATAATCATTAGATCATTGATCCTTAGCGGCCGTATATCAGCACCAGGGGCGGACTGACAACTCATGGGGCCCCTGTGTCCTTGCCCAAACTCAAAAAAGCCTATGAAAAAGGTACCAGGGGCATCTCGTGGGGCCCCCTACTGACCCCGGGTTCTCGGGCAGTGCCAGAGTTTCCAAATGGTCAGTCCTGCCCCTGATC